TAATGATTCCCTATACTATATAATTATCTATTTTTCCGAGATTTGTAAATTTTTTCTAGTAATAGTAGTAGATAATAATAGTAGTAAAAAAGAGCAGACAAAACAATGATATATTTAATGAGACAATGGAAAATACCTGGACATAGGCTCTACAGGAACGTTCCCGTTTCTGAAGCTGGTTCCATAAAGATGGCGGTTATGAAAACAGAATTTTAACAAATTAGCATCAGGAGAAAACAAAATATATAAAACAATGATACAATACTATTTTTTTCTTAATAATATTGTAGACTTTAAGCTAAGCATCTTACTAATGAACACCAGGTACAAATATGTAAGTTACTAAAAATTATTCAAAGTATAAACATTATAGATTTTCATTCAAATCTTTCTATACTAAAAATATATCTTTATTTAAGACTGTTTAAATTACTTAAAACTTAAAACTTATGGTGCACTAAAACCAAGCAAAGATTTAGGACTTAGGGAAAAGGATTTCCAGTTAGGATTTTGCCATAGGGAATGTCCTATCTTATAACTCAACAGTTTCAATCAGTCTCTTGGCAAATAGAGAACTTCGTTCATCAGAATAGAATTTAAGAGAACCTGCAGTTTTTGTCAGTTATCTAATTACTGTACATCTTTTTTCAAAAAAATAAACTAAACTAAAATATGCTAAACTAACTTATTTTAGAGAAATTTAAGTAGAACTTATAAAGAATATTTCTATGAAATAAAATTTATGAAGCAATAACAAGCTTACATTTACATTTATACAATCTTAGTGTGTGTGTGTGTGTGTGTATGAATAAAAAACATAGAAAACTTAGAAACAGCATAATAAGTGTTATGGAAATTTAGAAAATCTCCTTAAGTGAATTTAGTTGAAAATATTTGAATGATCAGAAACAAAGCAGCATAAATAGCAGAGTTTTTGATAGTACCTATAAAATATTTATTAAAGCAGATAAATTACTTGGTCATTATTCAAGAGAACCACTACAATAATCATAGTGGGCCAATATAATATGCTTCCACAATAACATTTGGAAAGTCCTAAATTTCAAGATAGATAATTATCCCTTGATCTCATGGAAATACTATATTATCTGACAAATAATGTGACTCTAAGAATTGGTGGCTTTTCTACAATTTATACTTTTTAAAATTAAAAATCCTCCAGTAACATGGAAATATTCTCAAAAATGAAAGTGCTTTGCATTGCAGCAGAATGTCCAGGAGTGCAAACACTTGTTAAGACTGCCTTGCATAGGCCATATATGCAAAACTGTTACAAATTGAATATTTTCTTTCTTGGGTAGACTAAACAGATTTATACAAATTCCAACTACTTCAGTGAAAATCCTTGCCAAAATTGTTAGCTGTTTCATTGAGAGGGATATAGAAGAAAATACAAGAAAAACTACTATAATGAATTTATATTTATTTATTCATGTATTAATCTTTTATGCCTCCTATCACCCCACAGGTGACTCTATAAGGGTGAAATAAATAAAGGCTGGCTCGAATAAAGGGTGAATTAAGAATAACAAACCTTGATCCCCAAATCTGTTTTGATACATTTTTATAAGTATATAATCATATCAATATATTTGAAACATTTATTATTTTATTATTGGCATTATAATTGCTATTCAAAGACAATTCATAGATTTTGTTCTAACCTTTGTCTTTAACTAACCCTTTATCCAGCAGAATTAAAGAAAAAAAATATATTAGTGTAATTGTCAAGTAATATGGACTATTATCAGATTATTTAAACCAGGGAACAATGGTGGAATGAAGACAATTTTGCTTGCAATGAAGCCAATAACCATGGCAGAATGAGGATGTGATGAATGGATTGCTGCCTCAAAATTGTTCTCCGATAAATGGGAGGAGCTGGATCACCCATTGGGCTTCATCAAGATGCTTCCAATGGTGAGACCATAAAATAGTGGTGTCTGGAGGGTTTTAGAGCCAGGAGAGACAGTTTTGCCCAAGCCACAATTTGAAGCCTTCAAAAGGAGATTGGTTCACAGACTTCCTTTCTTAATCACTTTTGGAAATGGCTTGTAAATTGCTTTTTGGATACTACCTACCTTCAGAAAGACATATTTTATACACTGAGTGATTTTCTTTCAATCCTTAGCAAAAGAAATTTCATGTACATTTAAACTTTAAGAAAATGTTTTATTTGGAAATAAGCAGTAATCGGATGATCCCTTTATCCATATTTTGGATAGTTATAAATGGATAAGAGGCCAGATTGACTGGAAATAAGATTTTGGAACTAATTATAAGAATCCAAATAATCCTGTGGTTTGTTTAAAATCCTATTAAAGTATACGAAGAGAATGAGTCTTAAGTGTATGAAATCTTTCCATGGGAAAATGTTGTGGAGTAGAGAAAACATGACAAGAGAAGACCGTGAAGGCTGGTTACTAGAGGCAACAAGAAAAAACTAAAGGTTATAATTAAAGGAGAAGACCCACCATTACAGAATGGAGAAAACTATTTTAATTTTGGAAGCATTCAATGATATTTAGCAACAATGAACTCAGAACTTTCTCTTAGATTGTCTGCTATTATAAAAATGGATTTAAGAATTGGAGATAGAATAGGAATGCTAAGAATCAGGCTGTTTTGAATATGGATTTAAAAATGATAGGTTACAAGAATATTTGCCAGGACTTACAGATGAAGTGAATAGATGTTTTAATAGCTAAAAGAGTCACTTAAATTTCTAAAGTAAATTGACTTTGAATATATGAATTTCTACTCAGAACTGTGACTTGGACAACTTTCTTATTTTGGACTTATAAAAGATGAGGGTTTTTTGGTTGTTGCATGGTTAGAGAAAATGATAAGCTCTTGTGTTAAAATTGAAGGAAAGTGTTAAACTTGGGAAGGAGTTTCTGAGAGAAGATGAAGAAAAAATGATAACAAATTAATTTGTGGGACATTATTTGAAAGAATTAAAGATTAAGATTTTCAATATATTGCTTTTGGTAGCAATGGATTTTTTTCTTGATTAAGTTTGAATGATGAGGCTTTAAATTTTGTTTATAGATATGAGATAATATATGAGAAAAAGGGTTTTTTGTTGTACTTTTAGAGAAAATGATATATTTTCCCTAAAAGTACAATGATAAGCTATTGTTTAAAGGAAAGGAATATGAAATTGCATGTGTATGTTGTCAACGCTGCAAATACTGTATATTCTTGCTTTGATAATATGCAGAACTGTCTGGTATTTTTATAGTTAAACCAGGCAACAGGGAAAAGGGAGGAGAATAAGGATAGCCCAAACCGGAAGTAAATCACATCTTCCATGACCCCAAAATAGAGGCAGGGAAAAATGCTTGGAATGTATGCGTAACGGAAGAGAAGCCAGACCTAAGCATTTCCACCATGCTGTACTGATGTCTCTGTAACCTTAATAAATGCTTTTAGGAGAAACATGTTTTATTAATTTTTAACATACACCTTAATATTTGGTAAACATCATATTGTCTGGGTTAGTGTTTAAAAAACAATCAATAACAATTAATTTCTATAATTCTGTAGTCCATATAGTAGCTTTACTTGATTTCCTCTTCTTCCAATATTCTCTTTTGCGAATCTTAAATTAATACAGTTCTTATTTAAATAAATGATAATTGAATATAAACATTTTTCTCATGTTTCTGTAAATAATAACCACGTAAATATAAAGCTTCTTTTCATTGATCATCTTGATTGCCTCGTCATAAATCCTGTTTACATTCTTATTTAAATTTATTTTCCCCACAATATTCAAAACATTCTTACTGGTTAAGATTTTCTCAAAATTAGTTACACTTAAGTATTTAAGTCTTTTTTCTCATACAAGCCAACACATTTTTACATTTCTCATGTCTTAAAGAAAAATAAGAGAAAAAAAGAAAAAACAGAGAAAACATTTCTTTTATGTAAACCATCCCAACATTTTTATATTTCTCATGTCAAAAAACCAAACACAAAAGAAAAAGAAATAAGGCATGCTATATTTCTTAATTCTCACTTTAGACTGGTGTTGTTTTTTTTTGCCCAAAATCTTCCCTGTTCAATATGCTTCAATGAATCAAAGAATCTTCCCATAATCTTATAAATGTTGTTGCAGGTACAAAAGGCAAAACAGGTAAGATGTTTTTATAGGAAGATTTCGCCCCTTCGTATTCATTGAAAATCTTTTCCTTTTTTCCTTTCTTGAATGTATTTATTATTTTTTGTCTCTCAAGTTCTCGTAATTCTTCTGGCAAAGTCCATTTTGCCAAATCTTTTTTCTTATCCTCAAACTTATTTTGCAATCTTAAAGTGTAGTTTTTCTTTTACATGTCCAGAATTTCCTGTAATTTTTTTTTCATCTGGGTTAAGTCATACGTTGTTGTATTGTTAAATTCCATCTTAAAATCTCTCTCCTCTGCCTTGTATTCAGTTGTCTGTTTTTTCTGCTTACTCTCTCTTTTTATTTTCTGAGAATTTTTACGTTGTAAAGTTAAATTGGAGATGTGTCCATTTATATTTTCAAGGCTATGTTTAATTTCCTCATAGTTTGAAATTATTGTTGTTTGGATTAGTTGCAACATAGCATAGATCTCCTTCTGGAAAGTATTTGTTTTTTCTTGATATATTCTTTCTGCAGATCTCTGGTTTTCCATGATAACCAAAAATCAGGGTTTTCCTTTCTCTGCAGACAACTTTAGGATCACAGTTGAGTTAGTATTTGTAATCCAGAAAGGTCAATTCTTTTTTTCTTTTTTTTTAGAGTTTATAATTCTCACTTTGTAGAAAGCCCAAGATGTTTTCTTTTTTCTTTTTCTTTTGTCACAGCTGTTCTCTGTTATTAAGACATTGAAGGTCACCATAATCAAATTTATCTTTTCCTGGGCCTTGCCAGTCCCTGTAATAGAGCAGCTGTTGTTGTATATTTTCATCCACCACTAGATGTCAGCATCAGTTCTTTCAGTTCTTTTCAGTAATAGACAATTATTTACTTCTATTTTCATGATATAAAACAGGCATGTCAAACTCGCGATGTCACGTGACATCGCGCGACGTATCACAACCCTTTCCCCATTGCTGGCAATGGGGTGGGCATGGTTTCAGCATGACCCATTCAGCCCGTGGGCCGGCAGTTTGACATGCCTGATA